TCTCCTGCTCTCTTCTGCCATCCCTTGCTATCCTCTGCCCTCCCTTACCATGTCCTGCTCATCTCTGCTGTACCATTGCTCTCCTCTGTTCTCCTCTGCCCTCCCTTGCCCTCACTTGATCTTTCCTGCTGTCCTCTGAAATCCCTTGCTCTGCTCTGCATCCTTCTGTCCTCCTCTGCCATCTCTTACCCTCCTGGCCCCCTCCTGACCTTCTCTGTGTAACACAGCAAAGGCGTAACCCGGGATGCTCAGATTGGCATTTGCGTCGTTACATTTCCCCCTCACTTAGCAATGGACGTCCTCGGCCATTATTTCGAGCACAGGAGCCATCCCACCTCGCGCCAGAGCGCTGGTTTATCCATTACACCATGAAATCGCCAATTTGCGGCTTACTGGTTGCCAGAATCGAACCGCCGACCCGAAGTTAATTACGGATGTCGTGCGGTCCCGTCTCGATACCATTGTAACACAGCAATCTCAGATTGGCATGTGCGTCGTTACACTCTGCCGGCCTGTGCTCTCCAATTCCCGGCTCTGCCGTCTCTTGCTCTCCTCTGCCCTCACTTGCCCTGTCGAATTCTGTAACGACTTCAACTCCTAATGTCCTGGCTTCTGTAAGATTAATTGAACCATACTGCTTCAAACAGCAGCGTCAGTTATGCATGATACCTCGCTAATTAGGAAGGTGTTACCTTAACAGATGGGAACTGCTTTAGTGAACTTAGGGCAATAAAGGAATGGCACTGCTTACATTGCTAACGTCATCCTTGAGCCTCACACTTTAGCATACCCAACACAACATGTTTGACAAGCAGTTCAACCCGAGTATCTCCCCACAGCCACCAGCTGGCCCACAAGGTTGAATGATGTGCATCCTGTCTCACATGACAGCCAACAACTATTGCTGCACCTAAAGTAAGCCATGTGCCCAGAGCTTAGGATAGAAGACAAGATGTCAATGTTAAGTCGTAGATCTAGCACTGAACAAAACTAAGAAAATGGGACCCAGCCCTGTAAGCATTTCCTCACTCTGCCATCCCCATATATACCCTCCCTCCCTACTCTCCCTCCCTACTTGTATGTACCCTACCCTCCCTCCATATCCTGTGGTCTGGTCTGGGTAGACACTTCTGCAATTAGCGGTTTAAGGTCCTGGATTCGATTCCCGGGGAGACCCCCGAATTAGATGGGAGCGCGAGATTTATGGCTAGCTGCTGAGATGTGGAGTTGAGGTCACAGTTGATGGACCACATTTGCACGCTGGATTGGTAGCGATTGCCGAACCCTCTGTCTCTTCGGGTGTTCAGGTGAATGGATGAGGAGGGGTCTTTGAAGGCTGGATCCGCCGCCTTGGACTTACAGTTCGTAGTACAGTGTGGTAGTGGTGGATGGTGCTATAAGGTCATATAATCGTAAAATTGACAATGTGATAAAGCGGCCCAGAAGCCTCACACTCTGTAACAATACAACAATACAATACAATACAATATCCTGTGACCTGCTCCACCACATACAACCCAACGTTCTGCATGCAAACCCCACCTTCGCGCCTGCTTTGTACAGAACCAAGCAATTGCTGGTCCGCAACGTTGTGCCCTCCCTCGCCCTCTCCTGCTCTCCTCTGCCATCCCTTGCTCTCCTCTGTCCTCCTCTGCCGTTCCTTGCCCTCTCCTGCTCTCTTATGCCTTCCACTGCCATCCCTTGCCCTCTCTTGCGGTCTTCCGACAACCCTTGCCTCCTCTGCTCTCCCCATTCTCCTCTGTCCTTCTGTGACCTTTCTGGCCCTCTCCTGCCTTCCTCTGCCGTCCCTTGCCTTCACTTGCCCCCCCTGCTCTTCTCAACCACCCTTTGCTCGCGAGCAACTGGCGTTTTGCCATGGCAGGTTGACAACCTGGATCACGTGCGGGACGCCATTAAGGAGGTTTCACGAGTCATATCTCCCCGTGATGGTGGTGGGACCAGACTCCGCAGCCTTTTGAGAGGTGGCAAGGCAGTGAAAATGCATACATGGGCGATGCTTGCCAGCCCTTATGGAACGTACATCTTGGCCCATGGCACCGGGATTGGTGACCCACAAATGGCGGTCATGCAGCAGCTCCTTTGCAGCCTCTCATTCCTGATGGACCGTGCTTTCACACGGGAGGATTGCCACAATATCAAAAACGCCGTTGCCCGTGCTCTTACCTTGGTTGAAATCCATCTTCCCTCTCCTGAATTGGACATCAAGCTTCACAATGTCTTCCATTTAGCAGAGCGCTTACTTGACCTAGGGCCGAGCTACACCACTGCCATGTGGGGATATGAGTCCTTGTGGAATCAGCTGGTTAGGCTCATGATGAACAAGAGGAGCCCCCACTCTGGGAAAGGATTTCACCCGTAATTTCATGTTTACCCGTAATCACGTGGTCTTCACACGTAATTTCCGGCCAAGACAATTTGTAAACATGCTGATTTTAAGTTGCCAAAGCATTCCTTTTATAAGGAAGAAGATATTTGACATTTTGTTGGTTGCCCGTGCTGGAAGTCATCCACAGGTTACATTACCCGTAATCACAAGGTCTTGACCCGTAATCCCCCAAGCCGTAATGCACAGCACCCGTAAAATTTTACGGGCTTAATTGCGACGAAGACGTGTTATGCGCACGCACCATTTTAGGTGTCACGATCCACATGCAGAGGACGCAAGCCCAAATCAACGACCCCCTTCCACTTTTCGCAGTGCCTTCACCTGTCAGCCTCTACCCCAGTCTTAGTACTGAAACACCCATCTAGCATCGGTTGGTCAATGCAACGGCCGAGCTGTATATAGTGCATGCATACATCTGCACCAGGTACGCTGTCAGCTTCCATGGGTCCGCTTCTTTGCACTGACCCCCGCGAGGGCCAGCATTCCCTTCCGCCATTTGGCACTGGGCCCTGTCACGAGGAGACCGTCCAGGCCAGGAACGTCTCCCCGGAGGAGGGCAACCACCATTGCAACCCTTGAAGAGGCAGCCATGTAACCTCTCTACAAGCAGTAGGGTACAGAATATGGGGGCCGTGTCAAATGGGCCAGTCACTCGAGGGCAATGGGGACCCCGCCTGTACTCAGGGGGGCATGATCAGGCGCATCTCAACTTATATCCCCAGATAGGCCCCCCACCCCAACACTCACGCTTGCATCCCTCCTACGCCCCCCAGCCCAAGCCCCTCCCCCACACCTTTTGTGCAGCCACGATGGACATGTCCGAGGCCAGCCGGTGTCCTATCCAGGACGTGAAGCCCCGGTCGAAGTGGTGGCATCCCAGGACCGAATCGGTGCTTCCCGCCACGGACTCCGCCTTCTGCTCCAGGTCTGCAGCAAGCGCCTCGATGTCAGTGTCAGAGCCTTGCGGTAGCCTTTCCCTGGCCAGGGCCCTGAAGCCATACTTGCGCGTTTGCAGGCACGTCAGGCTGGTCGTGGTTAAGCATGCAGCCCACTGGTCCTGGCTGCAGACCGTCCAGTTAATGGACAAGCACGGCTCAGTGTTATAGGCTGCATGGACACATCCAGGCGGGACAACGGCGCCATCACCAGGGCCTAACTCATAGATGGCCCCCCCAAACTCTTTCACGAGGTCCTCCAGGGATGAGGGTGTGACGTTGTACATTGAGTCCAGCAGCAGCTTCCCTTGCCTCATGGAGCAGGCAGGGCTGCGGAGCAGCTGGGAAAACGACCCCGGTGCAACCCACACTATTTTCCGCCCCCGCGCTACAACGATAATGCTCGGGGCCTGGAGCGGGTAATCCTCGTGGGAGCAGGAGCGGGAGTGCCTGCAGCAGGGGCATCACGGTTTTGAAACCAGGCGTTAGTTACAGATCGGCGAGGTGAAGTCCGACCTTGTTTGCAACAGGCATGCAGTATCAATATTGTTAGTTGCGGTTGAGCAGTTTATGAGGCGAAGGTAGACAAGCCTTAACACCTACTCGTAGTCATTAATAGACCCGGAACGGACCCACCTGCTGCCCACCAGCATGTCGCAAGCCAGCTGGCAGCTGCCGTGGTACACACGACGGGCACCAACACCACCGCTGTCGGTGAAGGTGTCACTCCCAAACACCTCCGGTACTGAAGCCTGCGCCGAGGACGTGAGGCGCTCCACCAGGTCGCACCTTGATGGATTCAGCGCCTCGGCGTCGGTACGTGCCCTGCAACATCAGCGCACGCAGTGTTGTTATGTTATCCGGAGCTTGCTTTGAATCACGGGGGTGTGACACGCACCGCATTGTCTCGCCAGCGCCATCTCGCATCACCCTAGCAACCGGCAGGTTGTTCATGTAGCAAATGTGCTCAGTCTCCACGGGCTCGCCAAAGACTTCGATCATGTGGCGCCCGAGCGTGCTTTCACGGACTTCCTTGACGGAGTGGAAGCTGCGCGTGTTCTTGGACGTGTGTTTGTACTGCGGGTGGAATGGCGTTGGAAGTAAAGTGATTCCGACGCAGAGCAAGTATGTCCCGAGGGCCCCTCGATTGACGACATAATTGAGTTGGTGGGCACCCAGGACCCCTGGGAACTGGTCGCTGAGGCGCCCGCCCCTACAGAGGAAGAAGGTGTGAACCCCGAGGCCTTGGAGACTCCTGTGCTTCCGACCTGCTACTGTGGCTGTACACGCCCATACACCCGTCCTGGCACACTCCCTTTCTTCACCCAGCACCTCGATGCACCTTTGTGGTCCGTATACGACCCACTGCTGCCGGGGGGGGCGCCCATCCAGCGATGGAAGTGGACCCTGCGGGACTCAGTGAACACCGTGATAGGCCACATGAGGGAGCACGTTCCTCACCGTGGCGAACTGGAGTCCGTGTTGCAGCTGTACGCGTCCATGTTGCCAGAGCGCCACATTCTCCCTACGTCCCTGTACATGATCAACCGCCTGGCAGGCGTCCGCAGCTGGTCAGATTTCATGGTGCACGTCTGCAGCGCTGAGGGGTGCCCCGGTCACATGTACGGCAAGCCGACAGGGTCGCTTGAGGAGCATGGCGACAAGTGCCCGCACTGCTCTCACCCTAGGTACTCCTTGAAGGACGTCACGGGGCGCGCTGTCTGGGAGCCAGTGCACTGGTTCATCTACTTTGGCGTCGAGGAGGTGGTCTGTACGGAGTTCTTCACCAACCCACAGTTCTGTCGGGAGCACGGGCAGTTCCGCGGGGATGCAACCCCCGGCTCGTCCCAGTGGCAAGGTGGGCCGGGTGACCATGGCAGGAAAGGGCGAGCCGTTGGTAGCCGTTTGCATTTCGCCGCACCTGTTCAAGGGGTTCCACAATGCGCCCTCACTTCATTCTCCAGCCCTTGCATCATTGTAATCATCGTAAGCAGGCATGGGGGTGCAGCAAAAGGGGAGTCTCGCAATCAAATCCCATGCTTTTTTAGCTATTGCCACCATGATTACCAACCGTCGGCTGTACCTGGTCCAAGGCTGACGAGATGTGCCCTCTCTGGCCTTTGCCTTATGCAGGCGAGTGGGTGGAGTCGCTGAAATCCTACACTGGCGGCATAGCCCTGCACCCAGACAGCTCTATCTATGACATCGGCATCGACTGGATTGCACCCTACAACTCTAGACAGCACAGGCATCCTGTTCATCCGTTGTGCGGACGTGGACCCCCGTAACAAGGGCAAGATCTGGAATCAGCGTGTCATCGCCATCATCCCCGGCCCCAGGATGCCGTCTGTCCTCCACCCCTACCTCCAGCCCATCGTCGACGACCTCCTCCGCCTTGCCAGTAATGGCATGCGTGTCTCACCTGCTGCTGCGCCTGCCAATCCGGAGGCTGCAGAGGGTGCTGCAGCTGGTGGCCAGGCTGGGCGCGGCGGTGCTGGAGCGGACAGCTGTGGGCGGCATGGCTGACGGGCAGGCGCCTGCTGACGGTGACCTCCGGGGCACACGGCCCTTTCAGCACCGGGTATTCCTGGGCCAGGTGCTTGCAGACACACCCGCCAGGGCAAAGGTGGCATGCGGCAACGGCCAGAACAGTCGTGTCGGCAGCTGCATGTGGTGCCTATTCGAGGCACACACGGATGCCAATGTCGGGCGTGAGGCCACCGTGCGCTTCCGTGGCTACACCCAAGCAGTCAGCCAGCACTACATAAAGCGGAATGCAGGCAAGAGCCTGAAGGTCGGCGCCCGGGCTCTCAAGAAGACCCATCGGCATTTCGTCAGCGCGGGCGGTGTCATGCAGGCGATGTACAGGATGCTCCACCTTGGGGCTCCACACAAGATCACGCAGAAGCAGTTCGACGAGGCGGCGCTTCAGACTGGGTGCAAGGGCCTGACTGCCTTCGCAGCCCTGCCGTACGTCGACCTGTCGTGCCTCTTCACCGTCTCCACCGGCCATGCCCTGCTGTTCGGAGTGGTCAGCAACTTTGTGGACTATGCGCTGAGGTCGCTCAATGACATCAAGCCAGCAGACCCAGATGCCAAGCTGGTCATGTCTCGTGAAGCACGCCAGCGGGTCGCAGCCCGCGGCCAGTTCCTGGTCATGACTTCGGACTTCGGGCGGCGGTACAAATGCGTCATGCAGTACCGGTGAGCACGGCCAGCACTGGGCAGCCGGCCACACACGGGGGCCGCTATTAGCCGAGAAAGCAAATACGACCAGGGGCTTGCCTGAAAAAAACACCTTCGTCGGTCGGAGAGTTTGCTACTCTAGCTCTGTGATGTACTTCTTCTAGTTACACGGTTGCTCACCACACTGCCCCCCTCCACCCATGCAGCAAGAGCTACCGCATGGAGGACTGGCTGCACTTCGTCGAGACGTTCTCCAGCTACATCTCCAAGGGGGACGTGCTGCCCGAGGCCTTGCGGGCCCTGTGGTGGAGCCTGTGCAGCGCGGTCATGCACTACTTCCGGCCGCGGCCCCCTGGTGAGACCCGTGAGCAGTTCCTGGTGGCAGCCAAGGCGGCTGCATGCAAGCTCAGAGCTTACACGACCAGGCTGGAGGAGTTGGAGGTGCCGGGCTACATGTTCACGGTCAACCTGCACATCTGCATATGCCGGCTGTACGACCAGGAGTGCCAGCTTGGGTCCGCGGCAGGGTTCTCCGACCTGCCGGTGGAACGCATGATGCAGCAAATGAAGACGCAAGGCGGAAGGATGGTGTCGCAGGCACCCGAGAAGCACTACACGCAGTGGCTGTGCCTGATGCTGGCCTCCGAGTCGCTCACCGAGGCAGACCCCGCGACCGGGGCCAAACACACGACCAACCAGCAGCTTGAGAGGATGTTGGCACGGCGTGTGGTGAACACCGAGGCTGCCTGCTTTGACAAACCAGGAGCCAACCTGCTTGGACGAGGCCACGCGGTCTACCCGAGTCCAGAACGAGCGGCACAAGTCCGGGCAGCCGTGGCGAGCCTAGTGCACTGGTACGGCCTGGCATTCGAGGACGTGGCTTCCTGGACATTCGGTCCCAGTGCGAGCTACGAACTGGACACGGACCGCCTGGATAGGGTTCTCACGTCTACACCACCCGACTGTCCAAGGCCTGCTCCTTTTTGTGTGCCGAGGCACTCGATGAGGAGCAGTACTTCGGGGCTGAGTACGGGCGCCAGCAGCAGCAGACCTCCTGCTGGGCATGCTACCAGGCAGAAGTCGGCAACGAGACTTGGATGTATGCGGCCTACCTCAAGTACTTCGTCCACCTGCCCGCGGAAGACGGTGCTCAGGATGTCCGCTTCACTGTCGCAGATGTGTACTCGGGACAGGTATTCAGCGGGGGGCTGGTGGTGGTCAACATGGCGGCCGCCCAGACAGCGAGGGCAGGCAGCCAGTGGGAGATGTGGCAGGACCTAGGGCTGCCGCTAAGCGAGCTGAAGGGCAAGTTCTGCACAGCCGCCCCGGAGGGGGACCGAAAGGGGCTGATGTACTTCATGCCGTACACACACTTCACCAACCGCTGAGCAACCGCAGCAACGAGGCCGATGGATGCACCCTTGTCTGGCTGACAACGAATGACTACGAAATTTATCCCATGCACATGTGCAACAGATGGCACGCATGTACGTACATATGCAGGCGTATATGCGTGAAGGCACACTGGCAGTCCATATGCCTGTATTGATTTTCGGTTCAGTACTCAAATGGCTTCACATTCTGCATTGTCAGAAAGAGTGCCGACGGTGTAAGGTGCGAGGCAGACACCGCCACAGCAGTATCAGCGGGACTAGTATGACTGATTGCTGACTGTCCAGTTCACTTGATGTGCGCTTGCTGGTCACAAAGTGGACGGCGCCCACGTTTCAAAGGAGTGGCCCAGATGTGCCATCCCCCACCACTCAAATGCCGCACCGCTGCGGAAGTCCATAGGTGCAGGCGGCTAAAGCGACTACTGTTAGTCGTCCGCCATTCAAGTGCCGCACTGCTGCGGATCCCACTCTGGGAACCAGGAGCCTTCATTCCTGATTCGATTCACATTCATTTCGTCCCTTCATTTCATCCCTTCATTTCATCCATTCATTTTTGGGCCAGGATTCATTTTGGAATGAAGACTCCTTCATTACAGAATGAAGGGAGCTCAGAATGAACGCTCTCTACAGTTTGAATGCCCCTTCAGTCCAAAATGAAGCAGTCTCCATAAAACGAGCCCATGTACATCACGTGATCTGAAGGCCCCTTCAGTCCAAAATGAAGCAGTCTCCATAAAACGAGCCCATGTACATCACGTGATCCGAAGGCCCCTTTCAGCCCAAAATGAAGCCGGTTCCATAAAATGAAACATACATATCACGTGATGTGAATGCCTCCTTCAGCCCAAAATTAAGCTTTTTAATAATATAAACCCCTGTCCATCGCGCCATATGGACGCGCCTCCAACCCTAACTAGGAAGGCGTGTTCTTATCACATGATGGACAGTGTCTTGATACGGATTTGCTTATAAGCCAAGCCGTCTCAAGACCCTGTCCACCACGTGATACGAACGTGCCGTCAGCCCTAAGAAAAGCCACCTCCACAAAAGAAGACAATGCAACTGTCCATCACGTTACTTATGCATTCATTCCAAATAAAACGTGCATCCACTAATGCCGTCGTTTCTTCCCCCCCTTCCCCTTCGCCTTTATTTCCATGAAGGGGATATCCACGAGAACGTATGCACTTTGAGGCGGCCTTTGCTGTCATCATGGCTGTTGCAGTCTCCACCACCCACATCTGAGACCCAGGGCTGCAACATCCACTGTGGCCTGATGTCCTGCAGTGGTGGCGCCTGTAGTTGCATCAGCGGGGACACCCAGACCTGCTGCAGCTGTGTTGGGAATTTGAATGCCTGCTTCACCATGTCTAAGGGGTGCCTGAGTGCAGCAGCAGAGGGACATGTGTCAGTCAATTAAATATAGACATATAGGCTAGGTGAAGTAAAAATGGACAGGTTGCTATACTGAAGCACACAATTAACATGATGCAGCAAAACCATGCAATTCTTGATAAGCACCCAACCAGCCTATTTGTAATCCTGACATGAAAACCAACACAAAAATGGACAGGAGCTCACTTTCTGATCTGGTGCTAGGTGATCTGGTCCAGCGCTGGACATCCAGTGGTCATGGCTGCTTGAAACAGCTTCAAGACACTGCTCTGCCTCCTCGACACTCAAGAGCTAAAATACATCTGCATAGAAAACAAATAGAGGGGCAAAGAACAATAAACCATTACATTAGTTATCATGCAGCAGCATCGGACTGCAACCCTTGATGGCGGTAAATAGCTAGCGTACATGTCAAAATAACAGATAGAAGCAGGTAACAAAGTTCTGTGATGACGAGTACAGAGTCATGGTGTGGCCGCCGGCAATGTGGACCTGGTCAACACAGTCCCGTGACTCACCCAGCCCGAGCAGCTTGAAAAGGTTGGTCTGCTCCTGTGCCTCCCAATCACATTGGAAGATTTCATTGTCACCATCGTCAGTGAGAGAGCCCAGCAGACTGGACCTAAGGGCGCCCTCACAGAGAAGAAGCTTCTTCTCAAACTTCAACCTTGTGGCAAGTTCTTGTCCTCGCTCACTTAAATGAGGTATAATGGCATAAACATCTGTAGTCAACGCTTTGTGTTGGCAGTGAGTCATTGTTAGATGCTCAATGTCAAGTGCAGTACTAATCGTTGTAAACCTGCATTTATAACAAAATGGAAGAACTATAGCATCTAAGATTAAGGAAGTGTATGCAGGATTTCTTGAGTATCACCGGGCCACTGCATGCCGTACCTGGATTGTAGCATGCAGTCCGTCAAGGTTCCAGCTATGTAAGAGTCCAGAATGAAACTAAAGCTAATCTAAATTTCATGAATTGATTATGGCATCGAGTAAAACAAATGCTCCAAGGCTGTCACCTGTGAACCTGCCAGCAGCACTTTGTATGTGCCTTGAAAGGAATTCCAAGTGAAACCTCTCTCTGAAACCTCTATATCGGCTTCTATATAGAAGCAAACACGGAGGGGGGTTAAGAACGTTCTTAACTCGTTCTTAGCCCAGCCAAATTGATAAAATTGAATAACCATTAGAACGTTCTTACACCGTTCTAAGAACGTTCTAAGAACGTTCGTAAGGCATCCGTTTATCTTAAAACCATTCTTTGAAATTCTTTAGCATTCTTTGGGGCCCAGCAGTCTTAGGTATTCTCTTCCATTCTTTGGGGTGTTCTTATTCGTTCTTAGACCAACTTAGTGTTAAAGCATACTTAGCTGCTCTTTGGCCGGTTTTAACCATTCTTATCATAGGGTTGCTAAGTATGGCACTCGTTCTTAAGTCTCATTCTTAAGAAATAAAACCACTCTTTACCATTCTTTAGCATTCTTTAGGGCCAGCAGTCTTATGTATTCTTTTCGTTCTTTGGGGTGTTCTTATACATTCTTAGGCCAACTTATTCATTCTTTGCCTAAAGCATACTTAGCTGCTCTTTGGCCGGTTTTAACCGTTCTTACCATAGGTTCGCTAAGTATGGCACTCATTCTTAAGTCATATTCTCAGGAAATTCTTTTTGCTGCTTACATTCTTAAGCCTTAAAAAATGTGGGATTCTTAAGGGTCATGATGAAAATTCAAACACACGTTTCGACCTCTGCATTCTCACATGCACCTCTATTGGTAGGCGCCCTTTATTAGGGTATCCACATGTAGGTTATTCTTACATTGAAATCCATTTCGCGTATTGTATTGGAATCGAACCTAAGACTGCGATACTATTATACTATAATGTTTCCCTAAACCTATGCTATAATAAACGACACCTCAACTTAAATTATTGTCACAGCATCCAAAGGTTCTGTATCTATTCTAAAACGTGTGCGTATACTATGAGCTGCGCCAAGTGCCGTACACGAACATATGTGCGTGTACGACAAACAACTCAACACCTGTTCAGCAACTCAGCTATCAGCCCTGGCCCCTGTACAAAAACCTGGCGTGCAGCCTGACATGGCCACATACCTGCTGCAGCCCACTGCCCAACACCATCCCTGGCTGCTGCAGCTGCATGAAAAACAAGAGGCGCCCCGAGGCCACTGCCATGTTTAGCTGAATCCAAATGGAAGCATCCTTGCTTGCCATGGAGAGGCTGGCAGACTCATGTGTTTTCTACAAGCCCCCACAAGAAGAGTTTGGGGCTACTGAAACTGTAGCAGTCGCTCACCTGGGCGGACTACTGGCTTTGCGGAAGCGTGGAATTTAGAGCCCTCGCTGAGGCAGGGAGAAGTCCAACCCAGCAACAAGCACTAGCATACATAGACCCGTACGAAACAATCCGAGACAGCGGCAGCGGAGTCTTGAACTCTGAACACCAAGTAGTCATGATACTTAAGTGCCTCACCATGGCACCCCGCCCAGGTAGCTTACATCTCGGCCTACCTGCCGGAGATTCCCTACTACGTTC